CTTGATTCAACACTGTGGATGGATCCATCTAGATAATTGTGTACAGGAAACGATACTGGGCGGGTCAATGCACGAATTTTTCCAGCTGTGTTCAACTCAGCCGCAAAAGAACACTAGTACACACCCTAACGAACCGCGCATATAAGATCTGTAGCAAAGATACCATTGAGGAAGAACTGCGGTGGATCAAACGAGTGCTTCTCCAGAATGGATATCCGGAACGCTTCATTGACATTCATGTGAAACATAATTGTACCAAATCAACGCCGGAAACGGTCAAACAGAAACAACCATTTTGACTTTTCTTTTTAAGGGCGACAACGCAGCAGTGATCTGTAAACGCAGGCTCATACAAAGCTGCAGAAAGACTTTTAATGCAGCTTATGTAAATGTGATTTATACGAGCCAACCCTTATTTGTTCTGCGATTTAAAGACTAAGTGCCTGATCGTCTCCAGTCAACGATAATATATCGGCTTACCTGTTCCTGTGGGTCTAGGTACATTGGACGAACGACCAGACACTTCGATAAGAGAATCAAAGAGCATCTCTCGAATTGGCTCACCAACCAGACAAACAGAATCAGCTGCATTGGAAGTTGTTTGGTGTTGCTCCTCCCAACGCAGACACACGCCGACCGTGGTTTCGTCCTGGTTTGGACTCATCGGTTGTTTGCGTTGGGAGGAGCAACACCGAACTACTTCCATTTCGGATACGGTCCTTGTGATCGGAGTGACCCTGGTCTACCTCAAGTGGAACCGACGTCTTAATAGAGGTTGCATGTCGCAATCCAACCACAGCGTGTTCTCCAAATACAATTTGGTGGACCAGCTGCAGTTCAATAACAACTCATCCGATAGACACCGGACACCAGGTTGACAAACAAACCGCTTTTGACATAGTGTACAAAGTACCATCACACCCGAACCACAGAATAATGGATGGTGTGCTTGCTACCGCGGGGGCGGCATCCAAAAGATGATTCAATCACTACAATTGCCTTGGCCAGCCACTTACGGAAGAAGGAGATCACATTCTAGCACTCGTCTGACATCCGTAACCTGATCACCCGATCAATGTCGGTAAACCGCTTTGAATCGTTTAATCAGTCGTTCTGCTGTACAGTAATCTAATATTATTATAACCACCTGATGATGAACTAATCGTAAACGGTTGTTTGTCGATAGTTTTCCGCTCATTTAACTCTTTGGGATTCACAGGAATGGGAATCTTTCATGTAACTCGTTCCCAAAACCATGTGTCTCATTTCACATTAATTCGTCTGACTTCTACACTCTCGGTCAGATCGGTGCTTACTCTTACTCTTTCTTGATATTGTTGTGTGCGTTGTGTCCGAATCACGTATCCAAGATGATAGCGGTGTGACGAATCTTTGACCCGCTGGTACTAACTCTGCCTGACAATGACTACACTCTTCACGTCTGGCCATAGTGAATAAATGACTAGGTATTTACGGTGTTCATATCACCCTTAGCATACATGCAAAAGGCAATCTACTTGACTGATTGCCAGGTAACAGCGGTTGGTCTTCGCAACTGTAGTTGGGTTAATATGCTCTGTTTGAAGACAAGGGGCCTTTTCACTGGTTCTGTTTATGCCCCTACTGACTGCAGTTCGGAAGGTATCAAAGGCAATTTCCATTGTGAATTCTCATCTCTTCTCTGTATAGCGAGAAATGTTGATGACGACATGAGTGCCTAACTGGGTTGCCTTCAGGACTCCAAACAACTTGGAAAGCCGCTTCGAGATCGATGCATCTCCAACCGACAATGGCGATCGATTGCTGTAACTATTTGCTGACCGCAGTATGTATATTGGCAGCACTGATTTCCAGCAGAAACGTTCACATCGTGTCACCTGGCCCCCACCGAATTCCTCCATGACCTGGACCCAAATTGCCTATATTACCATAAGCTAAAGAGGTCGTACATCGGTGTTGTCCACCAGTTGTCTTGTATCTCCTTTCTTCTTCATATTTTTGATCGAGATCACCATGTATGACTCTGTTCTCCCATACTTTTCTGAAGTGTGAGTTCTTCCAGGCGATCGACTGATAAACCTTGAGTATGTAAACGACATAGCTCCTTGGATCTGACGCAAACACTACTGAGTAGACTGACCCGTAGCGCTGCAAGTTTCGGCGTGTGCTTTGCGCCTCCATAGTGCAGGTTGTTATCGTAGGAGCGGGGCCATACACCTTTGGTTTTAGCTATCAGCTAACAGGCACTGGAACTGGGATATTGGTTCACTTACTTTGGTAGCTGTGTCACCTCTGGTCATCAGATCAGTGGAGAAGTTACTTTGCGGATCATCAAGGCCCGTGGGTCATTTCAGCAGCTGTCACCTATAAGGAGCGCGTGGCAACAACATGTCAGTGAAAGGTAAGAGGCATAACACTGTCACTGTTACTGACCATTTCTCATTGAAGACATTAAACACTTGACCGTGTTTGACCACCGGTGCTTGCAGAGTACTGCTCACGCCTGATTGGAACACCTGATGAGGTCCGCCAGTTGGCTCTTGGCAACAAGCCTTCCGGTACTCATCCGTTTACTTTGATTATGTAATGTCTCCCACGTATGTCCGTCGACCGCCTCCCTAGGTGTGCGTTACACGCAGTCGCTGTGTCAAGTTGGGTGAAACCGCAAAGTGTCCAGTCGATGACATGTCACTAAAGCTTGAATAAACTGACTGAGAAACTTGGTCTGGCTTGTGGGTGTCGTCTTCGTTGTTGAGGTTCCCGAGATTGTAATATCAATGGTAGAAAACTCTATCAGGCATGGTACAGTCGTGCAGTCAGTGGCAATCCTACATTCGCTTTCTTACGTCTAACAGTTCGTTTTCACTGCATTCCGATTAGTTTTATACACTTCCCTCTTGGTTCTAATTTCTTTAAATTTTCTTGTTTCTTACCGTTGTTATTTACTGTTATTCTGACAACTTCAGACGTGGCAATTCGGTCCGCCAAACTTTGGTGCCCGGAGCATAGTTGTTCACCTGTACTGAACCGCCTAGTAGTGTAACCACGGAAGCAACTGTGACTTAGGAGAGATCGATCGCTCTGATGGAATGGCTGAATCTGCACAACCTAATTTTTATTTGTGTGACTTCCCACTCATCTTCTTTCTCTCCCTATTCCCGTACTCCTAGAAGTCCACTTCCCTTGAATTCATAACCATACCGAGTTTTATCAGCGCTCCAGGTATTTCGGAAGCATTTTTGCCAAACCATCTTCCTCTCACATCTATTTCACTACAGTCGATCGGCTTCTATAAGCAATTCCGCTAGGACTTATTCTCTCCAATCTGGCTTATCGGGGTTCCCGCGGGAGGACAAATGACGAACGGTATTGACTAACTTGCTGATCTCTCGGCTCCCGGTATTTAAGATACCGAGTTTGTGTGTGTTTCGTGTTGAAACTCAAATTTCGGACATGCTATCGATTTTACCCCTCTGAATCGTGATCTACCTGTGTTCCCCCCACACACACACACACACGCACACGCCTTGATTAGCCATTTTTTCACAGTATCACCATGCGATTGCGGAAAAGATTGTCATTAATTGTGGCTAACCCGTGAGTTTCACTTTTTCAGCAAACGTTTTGACTCTCCTCCAATACTTGTGCTCTCTGGTTGACAGTTCGCTGATTAATATTCCTCTTCTTTCCTTTGTCTCATGTCTAACATACATGCGCCTTGTTCACAAACGTATGCGTGCGAATAATGACATGACTGTTTTGTTTCATCTGCTTGGGCTGACTTTATCCGTTTCTCTCCTTACCTGATGCAACGCATTTGGTCCTAACCTCCCCCGTACTTTCGACCGTTTTACACAAACACCTGACTTGAATCGCGATTGACGCATATCGTTAGATCCGCACCTGCTCACAATCATCTCTTTTCACGTTTCTGAGTTTCTCTAACATTGATCAGCCATTGTCACGATAGCTTTTATTGCACTTACCAGTAGACTGGCGTCCATTGCGCGTCGATTTGTTACTTTACTCTTCCGTTTGAATAATAAACTTACTCAGGAATAACCAATTGATGTGATCTACGAGATTTGCTGCTGAATCTTTTAAAAATACTACCTGGAATAGGCGAAAATGCTCTAAAGGGCAACAATCCAGCAAACACATGAATTCATTGAAGCCTGGCATTCAAAGTAGAGCTCAGTCAATAAGCACTTCGGTTTAGCAGTCGCTTACAAGGATCTGTGACCATATACTTGAAGCCGCACTGATATTGTTGCCTAGTCTGGCATCGAAACGTCTGCAACTTAATCAATCAAGTCGGAGAGCAACACACCATCCACATTCCACTTTCATCCTTCGCCGACGTGAATGGTTTCGATGCGTCCTCATTCTTTATTTTGGGAGTCCAAATACTCTCACTGTAGGTACACCAGGAACCCCCCTGTATACGCTGTTAATGAACCATCACATGATCCTCCTCCTAAATTATTCCAAAGGCAATTAGATTTGATTCAGTTTTGCGTTTCACAGACCCAACGTCTTCGAGTCGTATCATTTTCCTTCCTAGGGATACCCTTTGTTTCTCCAGTTGCACGATACCGAAACAGCAGTATAACGCTGACCTAATACGCTGTTATTGAGCTTAGTAATCGTAGCAAGTATATTATGTCATTCAGTTGAGTCATTCTTCTGTTGGTCCTCTGCTGTATTTTTTTATACTATGATTACAAATATGCTGGCTGTATGGATTGATACTGGTTCTCCACCTGTTCCCGATGAAGCTGGTAACTCGGTAAGCAAAACAGCCTTCGAGCGGAACCAAACCTTGTACTTGATTGTTGGCTTTTATTTATTGTCACGACCAGATGAAGTCGATCATTCTAAAAGTTTCTATGAACATATGAATGTTTCTACCCTGTATCTTAGGCGCCTTTTTGCACCATTCCATTCAACTCTACCTCGGCCTGGCTCCAAGTGCTCTATTGTTTTCTGTCGTTTTTCAGATGTGGAGCCGTTTCACGAACAATACGTCTGCTACTCCGTGTTACAAAGCTTCCTCAATGCAAACATTGTTGGCGAATGTGTGTATAAGTGCGTTATTATCAATATCTGGATGGCTGTCGATGACAATTTCGTTTAACAGTTATGCATTTTTATCTTCCCCATAACAGATTTTCCATCCAACTTGTGTCCGGGGCTTTGTCCATACGTTTTCTTTACTGTGATATTGTACTTGTGTGATCGTGCTTCCGCAAACCACTTTTACTAAGTTCATCGCACTTCACCGCTTCGAGTAACTTCGATTGACTGGAACTTGCTGGTGGAAAACTCGACAGCATTCTTTTGGCATACATTGCGAAGTGTCTGGAAAAAAAGACACTACAACGTATTTGCTATGAAAGAATGTGTTACCACCTCCCATTCGACAATTATCCATAGCCGCTAAAGTGTAAGCGCACCAAATGTCAGCTTCTGTTGATTTCAGTTTTTTAATTCATTCATATTTATTATGCTCGTTAGATCGAGGTGGAAAACACCTCAGCTATTGTGTCGCAATAGAAAAGAATGCAACAGAAGCAAGCCGGCTGAGTCACCAGTAACGGATGGACATCGGTCCGGAGAGCTAACAGTCGGCTATTTTGCCCCCAAAATGATATACCTAATAAATAAGTTCATGGTTGGAGGCGGTGAGACAAAGAAATTCACAACACCAACACCACCGTGGTCGGCTCCTAGCCATGCCAACAAGTGTTCCCACCCAAACGTGTTCATCGTCTTGTAGTCCACAACCAGGCAACCGAGAGGCTCCAATCAAGGCCGACTTCGAAGTAAGGGACTCCATTCCTCTCGACCAAGTCATCGCTTACCCACCTCTGCTCTTCTTCCATCCGCAACCGCGGCGCGCAAACAACGCACCTCGCGTGAGTCGGCAGGCTGGTATGCACAACACGTGGCCTTGTCATCGGAACCTGGTGCGTGAAGTAACGGTGCTGAGCAGTTCGCTTCTTCTTCCTGCGCTATAAACAAGGCGTCGAACACGCTCATTGCTCACCCGGTGTTCCCACCAGATGTGAGCCAAACTGCGAAGGCACCGGTGGTCGAACGTAACCAGCCTCTTTATGTCGGCTGACCTAATTCGACAGGTTTTACAGCCGCACAGTAGGCTAGAACGTACGGTTGCATTGTGCACTCTACCCTTCAGGACGAGAGTGATGTTGTGCCGGCGCCATAGGTGCCTAGAGCTTTTGCTATACGGGTTATGACATCGTCATTAATTCCAGCAGCGCTGATACAACTGACTCGATAGTTAAACTTTTGAACCACTTCTAACTGATCCCCACCAAGGGTCAGCGCGGGATTCGGTCCCTGACAATAATGGAGAAAAGCTCTGCACTTCGAGGGTACAAAGCGAAGCCCAAAACGGTTGACAGCCAGTGCTAACCTGTTCAGAGAAGCTTGGCACCTTTGTGAGGTATCGCAGGTGATGGCAATATCGTGAGCATACCCCAAGTCGAGAATTCGTTCACCTGAGATCAGCTCCACACCTTGTAGGTCTCTTCATGTGAACGCGATCTCCATGCCTACAATAGCGAAGTTGAAGAGAAAACGAGGCAGCGGACAGCCTTGTCTTACACCGCTGAAGATATTGAAGGTCGGCGACAGTTTGCCATAAATCCTCACTCTGCCCGAACTATGCGCATACAGCGTTTTGGTAATGTTTACATATTTATCAAGCACATCTTTTCTCAGCAGACAGTCTCAAAGGGCACATCGATCAACCGAATCTAGGGCAGCTTTGATGTCGAGGAACACGACAACGGTGGTTCGCCAATAAACATGACAGTACTCCAGAAGCCGAAGCAAAGTGAAGATGTGGTCGATGCATCCCCGAACTCGACGAAACCCGGTTTGCTCTACTCTGGGTTTCTCGAGTGCTAGTCAGATCGTGAAGGATGACAGAGGCAAACAATTTGAAGGCGATGGAGATCAAACTGATTCCTCTATGGTTGCCGTATTCCGAACGCAGTGAGAAACCACTGCTAGTGTCACCTGAAGGGGATTGCAGAGTGAGGACATGGCTCGGGTTTTGTAGGCGGGTTTCCGATAGGCAGCAGGTATCGATCGAGAGGATCTCGATTTCTGTTGTAGATGTATCACATGTCGCGGTTGAAAAACATAGGCTACACTTGCGTTTGCTTAACTCCAAACAGATGTCTAATCAGCTACGCAGTCTCTTCACAAATTCTTCTCGAAAGATGTAGCTGAGAAGTAAAAATCACATTCAGTTGAATCGTTGCCTACTTTATTCCCACTTTCCTTCTCATGTTTCTTCGATGTCTCGCTAGGACTTAACAAATTATTGAATTCCCATGTCTTCCTGTCAATCAACTAAACCACTGTAGCTTAAGCATCATAGTAATTTGTTTGTTTGTTCGCAGTAATCCGTAGCAACGAGACTGGACCTTAACGTGATGCGATGGTTTGTGTACCTCGTCGACCTGTTGAGTTATACTGGGCCCCTTAAGTACTACTTCTACCAGTTTGGTTACTGGTTTGAGGTCAGACAAACTAGATCTCCTGGCCATCCAGATTGTGTGTTTGCAATGGGATGGCGTCCATTTTTGTATAACCAAATCATTGCAGCAGCCGTTGCATTGCAGACAGGCCTTTGAGCCAACGGCTTTGATTGAGGACCCTAATCGTCCTCCTGTATAGGCCTGGGCGCCCTGCCCACATACAACCATAACTTTTTCTTCAGCCATAAACTTCATCCTGCATCGGCTGTCGCGCAGCTTATCCACGATCGCCTTATCTGCTGCATACAGCAGGGTAGATAAGCGAAAACACAATACTGCTGGCGCCTCCCTTATTGCTTTTTCACCTGTTTCTCTTATGTCCCTCCCAGTCCTTAATACTGGTCTTCTATAACTCCCAGTTTAATCGACAGCAACCGCAATGTTATTGAAGTCATACCATCTGCTGTTGTTAGCCCGCACCACCCACCGGACACGAATCGCCAACAGCTCCTTATTAGGCCACACACTCCCGTTTCCCCGGCGGTGTGCAACTTTCGCACTCTAAGACGACTAAGTCAACTGGCTGCACTCGCACGCAAGTTGGGCACGCTTGGAATTGACATGACTTGTGTGTCTGAAACCAGGATCAATGACCTTCAGGGGTTGTTGAACTTTTGGCACCCAGCTTGTCCTCTCGCTATTGGTTGCACGCATCCGGAGACGTCGATGCGGCAATCACTGGTCAAGCTAGAGTAGGCATTGTTCTCAGCTCCAAGGCCGAGTCATCGTTGGTTGATCGGATTCCGGTGAATAGCCGTTTGTGTGCAGCCCGTTTTTGATATCAACTAAGGTTGATTCACGAAGTAGTACAAAACGCTGTTTGTTTGTGCTTTCCGCTCACGCCCCCACCGACTGCTGTTTTGATGTTGCTGTGGACACCTTTCACGAACCGAACGCGCTACTACGCAGTGCTACTAGTTCAGATATGCTGCTACTTGCAGGGGATATAAATGCACAAGTAGATCATCTGAGCTTTCCAAAAGCTCTGCTCAGACTTAACTCCGACCGTACGGACAACGGCGATAGTCTGTTACGGATGGGTGCGAAGCACCAGCGCAACAAGCGTCCCTCTCGCTTGGCCACTGAAAAGTTATCCCAGCCCTCAGTCAGGCAAGCCTATCAGGATGCACCGCGTACCGAATTTTTGCTCTGATGTTGAGTTTCATTCGAATTAACTCTCGGCCGTCATGCGCTTGCAGGAGCGTGCGTTCGCGGAACCGCATCAGTCAGTGGATTTTCGCGAGGTCGGTGAACTTTGGAATCCAGAAGAAACCTCCTGGCTGGCTCTGAGCACACTGTTACCACACGGACTGTAAAGCGCGAACTAAAGCAGAGCCTCCATCTTGACAGCGAAGCCTGGTGGACTAGTCGGGCTCAAGAAATGGATGAGGCAGGAGCAGTAGACAATTATCACGTTCTTCCAAATGATCCACACCACTGGTCCCAGAAAACCAGACGTCAGTGAGACAAACAGAGACTGCGCGGGTGCCCTGATTCACAATAGCGATCGCCGTATGGCTCATTGGGAGGAGCACTTTCGAGAGCAGTTCAGTTGCCCACATGCTTCTAGACCTCTTCCCACTCAGGTGATGCAGAACGAGCCATGGACGGTTAGTTTTGAGACTCCGTCAATGGCTGAGGTTTGAAACGCCATCGCAGCCCTAAGTTGTTTTCGAGCTTCTAGCTCGGATTTCCTCCCACCCGCACTATTTAAGGATGAAGGTATGATCCTCTGCAAAGCACTGACCTCCACATTCCTGCAGGTCTGGAAGGCAGAGGCCATCCCAGCTAACTGGAGTGAATTGATTGTAGTAAGAGGGAAGCCGCACTGACTGTGCTAACCACAAGGGTATTAGCCTAACATCGGTGGTGACAAAATTACTGGCCTCACTTCTCATTCGTCACTTCACTGCGGAGCAGGAATCACAAATTGGGAAAGAGCAGACAGGCTTCCGTCCAGGATGGGACAGTATAGACCACATCTTAACTCTGCGGCAGGTGCTAGAGCAACTCCACACGTACCGCAGGCCTACAATAACTGTGTTCCTGAACTCCAAGGGTGCGTTCGACCCATTTGACCGATGCACTCTGTTCGAAATACTTGTGCGGAAAGGTGTTTCCATGTAATACGTGAACATTTTACGTGCTCCATACTCGAACACTACAGGCCGTGTCAGTGTCTACGGTGATTTGTCGGATGCCGTGGCGTTCGTCAGAGTTGTCCAGTTTCCCCATTTTTGTTCAACTTCGTCGTGGACTACGTCACGGAGTATTCCCATGTGGAGCCGCACGATGCAGGCGTTAAGGTGCTGCTTGGTGAGAAGCTAACTATGTTTGTTTATGCAGACAATATCGCCATGCTTTTTAACCATCTTCTGGTTGTCCAATCAACGCTGAATAACCTTCACTGGGCCTTCGCTTCGCACCTTCAAAGTGCGAAGTGCTGTTACTGAACCACCAGTCGCTTGATGGCGAAGGATTCGTGGTAGTTGATTAGTCCACCTATTTTGGTAGCTTCATCGGCAATTACGGGCGAGTAATGGCGGAAGTCAGTTCACGTATTGCAAAAACTGGTACTGCCTTTTTAAACGTGCGTCATATGTGACGTTAGGGAAGTTTACCCTCCGTCTAAAAGACTGTATACAAGGCCACGATGAGGTCCTACCTAGTCTGTGGGAGCGCGACTTGGCTCATCCGATTTGAGGACCTACGGCGCCTTCTAGTCCTTGATCATCGTTGTCTGCGAAGCATCGCTGGTGTCGGATAGCATCAGCGTGTCCGTAACAGTGATGCTCGTAAACAAGTACTGGGCAGTTGTAACCAGGCTAGTTCCTTAGAGCAACAGACAGCATTGAATAAGTTGCGTTGGCTTGGGCACTTACTACGTGTGCCTTGGCCTTGTTTTGTCTGCTAGGTGTAGGATGGCACAACGCCCTAGGTGCGCAAAACTTAACAGTGGTACATGAAGTCACTGACGACCAAACTGGGTTCCGTCAGTCCGTCTCACCTTGCAGGATGGAGTCCACATGACTCGCCCTGTGTTTGGCTCGAGACATTACAGGACACGGCTTGCAGTCGGTGCTAGTGGCGCGTCTGCTGCTGTCTCTTAGTCGGACTGCTTGTTTAACGGGTGTTTGGTACGGAGTTATCTGCGGGGTACTGGCTGATTAAGACACTGGGCAGTGAAAGCCGCAAGGAAGCTGCCTCGCCGATGCTGTCTTATCTTTGCACGATAGCCAGCTGTTCGTGATGTTATATTGTTGACAAAGTGTAGGCCGATCCCCCTTCTCTCCCTCTTGTTCTTCGTTGATGGTGGTGGTGGTGGTGATGATGATGATGATGATGATGATGATGATGATGATGATGATGATGATGATGATGATGATGATGATGATGATGATGATGTTGATGATGGTGGTGGTGGTGATGATGATGATGATGATGATGATTGTGCCTACGATACAATGCCTAAACAAACTACGTCGTACGAAACCTAAACTAGAAAGTACGAACCACTAAAGCTAGACTTAACGCACGGTCTGGGCAGAAGCATAGAACGAATTGTCCTTTAACCGTGGTTCTGTAAAGCAAATTAAATACAGTACATGACTTACGAATAGGTTTTGCAATCGTAGTGCAAGAAGGCAGCAATTGTAAAGCGTTAAGCAGCGTACGGGAATTTGGGCAGTGTCATACTGACAGAATAATATGGATGACCTTGCAACATCAAGCATATGTCAGTGATGGAGAGTGAAAGGAATAAATGTTCAACATGGTAACCGATTGTACCACACAGAGTTAATGCAATGTAAAATGAGCAGAACAATTAGGGAATAGGGATACCGTGTCCTCAAGTCCAGCTTGGGGATACATCAAGGTTCCTTTTGGATTTTACAGTGATGATGCTGAGGATGATGGTGGTCGTGGTCGTGGTGATGATGGTTGGTTGTGGTAGTACTAGAGGTGCTGGTAGTGATGATGATCGCGGTACTAGTCAAAATCAGCTATCGTCCAAGCCTTTTGCTCTCCTTTACTTTGATAACTTCACTCTTCCCGCTATTCGTCAAAGCATTTGCTTGATGATGCTCTCTTTGATTACTCGTTTGGAGTGAATGCTTTTGTCGCTATTGCGCACATGGAAGAGCCCCGATGACAGTAACACGACAAGTTTTCTCCTTTGATGCCTAGTCTAATATCAACTATTTTGTTTTCTATTGCTGTTTTAATGAATTTTGTTACGACGAAATATGCGACATCTTCGCCTTTAACTACCGCGTCGGTTAATGAGGCTGCTGAGTTTACACGTTTTTATGTCCCCTTTGGGAACAACTGCCCAAATCAACCCCTGCGAAAAGACTATTGTTAATCTTAGAATTAATGACCGAGCAAACTATGGCCGATTTCACTGAGCTTATGTAAGCCTCCTACCTAACAGTCATAGTTTTGTGTTAGCTTTCTTTCAGGCTACGTTTTTCTTTTCATCTTTCATATTTACTTTCGTTGTTACTTCCTGTTGCTGTGGCAACACGAGCCCATGCAACTTGATACGCCACATCTCGGTGTTTGCCTCGAGTGTGATCAGTTTTTGCTAATTGTTGTGACCCTGACCCCACCCCCTCGTTGACTGCATTGTTCGATCGGTACTTTCTGTATTGCTGTCTTTACGTTCTGCTCTTTGACTCATCTCTCTCTAACCCTAACCCTGCTTGCTGCTGTGCATGCTCACACTCTTAGTCCGAAAGATGCCGACGCCAATCTGTTGTATCAACCGAATCAGTGGGCCAATTACGCCATTCTGCTGCTTCAGGGCCGTACTCAAGTACAAATCGGAAGCGAAGGTCTCGTGTTTGAGGCCGGCCCATTTGTCATGTTTGGAGAAATTGTGCTCAAACGTAAGTCTTTTATGCATGCATCTATGTCACACTTTTTTCTTGATATGGAATATCGCGCATAATGTATTTGGACCTAAATCGAGATGTGATTTCAACATCAGCGCTTCGGGATTCAGCCCCCGCTTCTGCTTAAGTTTAAACACCATTAAAACATCCCAGCCCCCTTTTGGTTGCTCGACAGCGAAGCGTAGGTACTATACGCTGGTGTCCTCTCAGGGCCTCTTTTAATCTCTACATACGTATATGTACATATGTATGGATCCAACAACCGCACCGTTTTATTCACTAGAAGTTCGATGGATGCCCCGCTCTCTGGACGGGAGGAGTTCAGTGGATGTTATTGTCCAGAGAACTATGCCAAAATATGGCTTCAGATGCCCAACTGGTAACATTTCTTTGACATGTCCAAGGAGGGCTGTGCTGATGATATCACCCATCCATCTCCCCCAGCCACTAACATCTCATCGAAGGGATCAGCGTTTTGGCTGTTTAATCTATTTCACTTTTGGCACATCTGGCAAACAGTTATTATGCATGCATGCGCAGAATTCGTTCCAGCCATTCACACACGTGGAGAGTGAAGAAGTTGTGTTGTTCTCTGAGCTGGGTATTTTGGTTGCAAACGTTTCCTTGTCAAGCTATACAATAACCTCCCCAGAATCAGGGGGCTATTGAATTTTGCTCGTCCGAAAACGCTGCACTCCGCGACCGGTTTCCGACTTCTTTGATCTCATCAGCGATAGTAAGCATCGAAGCCAAAATCTCTGTCTGTTTCATTAGTTACCGTCCTAGTGATCCATTTGACCAAGGTTCTTTGCACTGTGAGTCGCGGTACACATTGGGATCAGTCGTTTGGGTTAGGGTGGTTGTGCGTTCATAATCGTAGCACTCCCCGCCTCACCACAACGTATGCTGTTTCAGCTCTCCTTCATACTTGCTATCACTTGCTTCCCCATTATCCGATCAACAGCACCACCGAACGCAGCGGATAACTCTCGTGTGTCGGCATCTAGTGGTTTACGGACGTCGAATATCCACTGTACAAAATGTGCACATGGTGACCTTTTCATTCACATCAAGTGACTTTTTACGCATATTACCCCTGTGGTGTCATTCGGTAATGACTACTCTGGCTTTCACATCTCGGGTGCAGCTCACAGAGTACTCGGAATGTACTTGTAAACAGCGTACTCGCACACATACATGGTTGGCGGCATCCGATTTCGGATTTGTCTGTCACTATGGCCAGCCACAGGACGGCTGCGCCTACAGAGGGACCTTGGGTGACTTGCGCTGCACCACCCACAGCTCCAACCACACACCCCATATCTAGTGTAAACCCGAAGGAATAAGACCGGGAGGCATTTGGATGGGAGCCACGTTTCATCAACGGAGCCGGCCCACACTCCTTCACAGGCACTCTGTATTTAGTGAATCAACCGCACATAAGACGGTGGCTGGACCGTAGTCCGCTCCACACTGAGTGCATGGAACCGCTCTTTGAGCCTAGCACGGCCACAAGAACCGTGCACCCCGTTCCCTCCAGCAACGACCAACTGTCTCCTGGAGCCAGTATGAACGAGGTAGTGGGTAATAGACAGGTAGGCACCTTGTCAACATGCACATCAAGCGCAGTCACACCGCGGATATCAAGCAACAGCCAATCACTTGAAACGACAAGATGAATAAATAATTGTATAATGCATAGAGATACGGTGACATAACTTTTCGCTAAATTAGCATATGAAGTAAGTTGGTTATCACCGAATCCGCGATAGGTAAAAAATGTTCACAAGTTACTTAAAAGTGCTACTAACGCAACAAAGTTACCGAAGGTAAGCGCAATTAGTGTAAGCAACGTAACCAGTTAATAGAAGATTAATCAGATAGGCAGAACAAACCAACCAACCAAGTGGAATGAAATTTATCCAGCTTAAAAAGACCTGGTTTAAGTGTAAGTTGCTTTAGCCCAACTGCGATGAAGAACAACATCAGCCTCAGCATGGGGCGCATATATATATATATATATATATATATATATATATATATATATATATATATATATATATATATATATATATTGGTGGTCACTGTTGCTTCACCTGAAACGCAGCAGGTTGATGTCTTACCAGATAGGGTGCTCCGTCTTTTTTCCTCCCTATATATTCATTAACTTCATCAATTTGCATTCCAGGTGTGAACGCTATATTCCCAGAAATATCGGATAAAACAGATTTGGCTCGTTGCTCCGCTCAGTTGGCTACGGAAGCCCGGTTTGTTCCAGATTACACTCTGCGTGCTGTCACTAACGTGCAGTTTTTGCGCATCACCGCTGAACACTACCTTCTTGCCCGAAGACTTTCGGCTATTCACCAACGAGCTGGTAAGTCCATTAGGCTCGACGTTGATCCCCTTAGAGCTCCCTTGGAAGTGGCGCATTGCACTCTGAGGGTTGGGCATGTAATTTGTATGCTATGTTTGGAGTTTATTTCCGCAGAACTTGCCCGATACGCCACCATCCTTTGCTGGTTGCGTCAACCGTTGAACATTTTCTATCCAGGTTTTTGTCACCGAATGTTCTACTGCGAGTGTTACTACACTTTTCACAGTCTCACTCGTTTGTGCGGACAGTGGGATGTTGATTTACTGGTCATTTTAACATAGCCGGATTCGTACAATCTCCCCGCTGCCTTACGGTCAAGCTTTGGCCGAGGATCCTAATCGTTATTCTGGGCGCATTGGCAGTATCCCAACCCACTTACAACCATGACTAATACATCAAACTTCAGCCACATCCTACATTAGCCGCAGCGTGACTATAATGGGTCACCTTGTATGCTGCATATATCGGGATGGATGAGCGAAGAATGCTAGTGACGACACATCCCTTCTTGTCCGTTATACTTCCGTTCTCCATCACTTCCTTCTATAGTCCCTAGCTTATTTTATACAAGCTACAATATCACTGAAGTTCTGCCATCTGCAGCTACCTTTCCGCAGCATCAACTGAACGCCTATCGGCAACAGTCTCTCATGAGGTTACGCGGTCCCGTATCCCTGTCAACGTTCAACGTTCGCACTCCCACACAAATGGGTCAGCAGGCTCCATTCGCGCACGCGTATAACATCATGGGTATCGATGTCTGCTGCGAGTCCGAAACCATGGGGTTCTTAAATTAACTGCGCCCGGCTTCTCCTCTCACTATTGCTTGCACGCAACCGGAGACGCTGGTTCGGTAACTACAGCTCAAGCTTCGGTGGGCATCGTTCTCAGCTCCAAGGCTGACGCTTTGCTGATTATTGTATTCCAGTGAATTGCCGTTTCTGTGCAGCCCGTTCGAAGTAGCACTAGACTCTGTTTGTGGTTGCCGCTTACGCCCCCACCGACTTCATTTCCGATACCTCTAAGAACACCTACCACGAACTGAACATGCTTCTTCGCATTGTTACCATCTCAGACATCGTTATATTTGCAGGGTGTTATGGATGAACATGTAAGCCATCTTGACTTCTCAGAAGCTTAGGTAGGCGGTTCGTATGAGCTTAACTCCGAATACCACCTGGCGTCCTCCAGCAGCTGGCTAGCAATGGACCCACACACATCACATTGCCATAAGTTTCAGTTGATGTTGATTTCTCCTGCATCGTCACTAGTTCTGGTTCACGTGCGTCGATTCTAGTCATGTCTTGGTCCACTATCGTTCTTCCATAAACTTTACCGGGTGGCGTTTCAAATGCTTTTCTCAATCCGACAAATGTAAAGTTGGCCTAACCATCCGTCAGGTGAACCTACCAGGATTCCCTGGGTACTGAGTTCTCGCCTTAGGAGCATCGAACTTCGATGGAATGGAATCTCGGCCGCCATGCACAGCACAGGAGCCTCTACTTGTGTCACTATCAGTTGTCTTAGCACCGTGCATCGAAAATAGGTTGAACCTCTTGGAATCCCCAAGGAAACTCCCTACTGATATCAGTCAAAATATAGTCAGACTGTTAGGCGCCAACTAAAGCAGAGTTTGCAAACTGCTAAGGGAGCCACGTAGATCGATACGACTCAAGAAATGGAAGAGTCAGCAACAGTGCATATATTTTAACAGTCTCCGGATGGACATGTAACTGTCAGGACGATGAAAAACAATGGAAGTTTTGTTGTCGTCAGCCATCATATTGTTCTCATCCCTCAAACGACTGCTCGCCCGTTATCACTTGCCCAACACCACAGAAAACAAATTTCTCCGTGCAAATGAACAAAGTGTTCTACCCTACTCAAAAAGATTTAAAACGTCACCCTATCTGAGGGCCAAATCGTCATGTATGGGGCGCTTGTGTGTATGTACTTATACGATTGGTGAGTTGGACCAACAAACAAAGCAGCTTGTTTAGATTGGACTAAACCCTGATCCTTGGTTAAGATCAGCTTGAAGTCATCGAAAAATTTGAGTATCTAGGCAGCTATATCAACTCTAATGGGATGGATGATGAGACACAAACCGCATAACAAAAAATCGAAGCGCTTTCGCCAAGGTCCGCCACCTGTGGCGCCGGCACATCACTCTCGCCCTGAAGGGCAGAGTTTACAATGCAGCCATCCATTCAACCCTACTGTATAGTTGCGAAACGTTGCCCATCAAGTCGACAGGCATAAAGAGGCTAGTCACGTTCGATCGTTGCTGTCTTCTCAACTTAGCTCAGGTTTGGTGGGAGCACCTCATGGACAATAAACGTGTTCGGCGTCGTGTATTTGGTGCAGGAGGAGCGAATGAATCGCTCAGCACGGTTATTTCACAAACCAGTCTCCGATGGCTGGGCCACGCTGGTCCACCGACTCCGGCATCCTGCAGTAGGTGTGGATGGAAGAAGACAATGGGTGGCCAAGCGATGACTTGGTCTAGAGGAATGAAATCCCTCACTTCAGGCTTAGCGTCGGTAAGTATGTTCCGACTCCGTGGCTGTGGTCCGAAGGGCGATGAACACGTTTGCTTACATACACTAGTTGACACAGCAAGTAGCCGACCTCACTTGCTCCTGGGTTGTTAGTTTCTTTGTCCCTCCCCAGCCACGGTCTCTCTCGATGCATAATATATGTGTTGCCTGTTTTTTGCATTCCATACTTTTCAGCATCTTGCCTTTTTCGTTTGTCTTATCTCTATGTATTGCGGCATAGTAGTTGATGTGTTTCTCACCATCAGCTAGTATATAATAATGATGATGGACCGAATCTAGACTAGCTATTTTAGCTTATCGCAATTTTGACCAGTTTTATCTGTGTATGATCGTCATGTGAGTTGTCAAAAAAATTTCTTCGCTGATGTGAATGCCCAAACGAACAACCTTGTCCAAATCCTACTGTCTGTCATTGCTTGTCTCTGAATACAATAGTATCCTATACTGTCTACATTTACATCATTACTGAGGCTTCTTCACAACCACCATCCCCCATTGACGACGAGTTTGCGTTCCGCTTTGCCTACGATCAATTTATTAGCTTTGTTGATCCGTGGTTTACCGTGGCCGCCTAATGTCAGCAAATTCCGCTCACTTTCTGTACCCGCCAGTTCATTTGCCTACAATGCGACTCTTCTTTTCGTCATTGTAATCGACCAATGCGGTTAGGCTTCCTGCTTTCCCGTGATCTGTTTCCGATGCGAGTCACCTCACTAGTCGCAAACTATTTGCATGTGTATCTGATAGCACGGCTACACTAAGTGCCAAGTGATCTCTGGCTCGTATTTAGTTTTGCGGTTTTTGTATCTAGGGTTTTTTTCCAGCATTTCCCAATCTTTCATTATAGAGGAGTATTGTAAATTTAATCATTTTTAATGTCTTTTATCCACTTCCCTCGTGATAACCTTTTTCATGTACACTGCTATAGGTATGTGTATGTCCTACTTAAGTACTCACTCTGTGTGTAACTAAATTGCTCTCTTTGTTTGTCCTGAAGTAACTATAGCCGCCTTTTTACACAATTCGGCAGGAAGTGACATTATAGTACAAAAAACATTCGTTCTATTTTCTTTCTAGGCACCATACATACGTTGTCCGATTAGAAATCAGCACATGAGGATGATTTACCACACTTGTGTCTTGCGGTTGCCTCATCTTGTTGAACGCTACTGTACATTTCACCAGTTTGCTGCTTTACCAAAGCGGTTGTCGTTTCATTTTTCTGCATCGAATGGCTTGTGGTGCCCCTCATGTCTGCCGAGGTTAACTGACACCATTCCTGGTGGCAGCTTCCGTTGGTAGCTATAGCTCTGGGGGCCAGCTCTGTTTTCTGTGCGTTCATAACCTTCATGGTTGTGGAGGATGAGACGCACTATATCACGGTTAGAAATCAGCCGTGCTGCCCCCCCCCCGTCAACCATAGTGCAGTGGCATAAGGTGCTGACTCTTCTAGTAACTTTATGGATTAGAATCAATGAGGATTCAGTGGATGCGCGCTACTGACGGGTCCCAATAGGATGAAAAGGCCGTCTAGTGCTTTCTTGGACGCATGGTGGCCGTCTCTAAAACCTTACCTTACCTAACCTGCTCTAACATTATATACTACCGCCACTTGTCTGTTGTTCACCTTCGCATTTCCGCTCTCGCAGCAGCCACTCTTATTCGCCATATTTCCCGTTCTCTCTCCTTGTTCCCTTAAGCTGGCACTCCGGTTGGTGGCCTACACCCACCACTCACTGTGTGCGATCATATGAACACGAACGAGCCAAAACTCAGCATTTCAGGATTTGGGCCCGTCACCATTGACAGCCACGATATGTTCCAAAGCGCTTGGGAACAACATATTGTGCGTTTGCGGGATGCATCTATAGCCGCCACTGTCGCTTCTGCAGTCGACCTTTGTATAGAAACGGTACCTAGCCACCGGAGTCCCAACTCGCCTGTTCGTTTATCCCCAACGCCCCCACCCGACTACAATGTTCTAACATCAAGAAGAGTTTCCCCCACCGATTCCTCCAATCATACCATGAGTGCAGACAGTAACGTTACCTTGTCTATCAAACGGATTCCCTCCCTTCTTCCCCATTCGGGCGATGTCCTGGCATCCAGGCCGGAAGAACTTCAAGCATTTGTCGCACATTCCAACGCAGACGGAAAGTCGGACACAAATCCGAGCGCAGACGCAAACCACGCGCATTGTTGAGCTAACCTATCGTCTCTTTCACTTCCAATCAGTACATCACTTGTCCCTCGCCACTCACCCACCTCCAACTCCGCCATTCAACGAATCTACACGAATGGATCTCATCCAGATTTTTGCCCTGTAGTCGGCACTCCATCGTTGCATTTCTACCTAGATTACTCCCCAACTATCTCCCCCTCCACCACACTCGGTAGCGTTAGTTTTCTACCGGTCATTCGTCTTTCTTTGTAGCCATTTATCGATCTGCGTCGTGTCTTGCCGAGTGTCTAAAACTTGCCCACTCATAGGCACCTAGACGTTTGCAACTTGAACAGTAACAGTTGGCTTCTTTGCGCGCTTTAATCAACTTGTCAGTTGCTCGATCAGGTTAGCTGCGTATTTCCTCTTCTTCCCCTCCATAATCCCTCCTCACCTTTCACCATTCCACGTGCAATCATAATCATGTCTGTCCGATGTGCACAAAGCACTCGTTGTTCCATCTTCCGCAGCAATGCACTCTTCGCCGCCGTCCTCATTTGTCACCGTCAGTTTCCGAGCATGGTCTCTGACTGGGACACTCAGCATCAGCACACGCACACACACACACATACCTCCATCCGTTCATCTTTATGTGCACATTTTCTTATAATTATTAGTGCCTCCATGTGAGCAATTTTTATACCACTTATTTTGATCTAATTTTATCTAGATTCCAGGCGAGGTTTTCGTTTACACAGACGATATGATTATTTCTCTATCACACCATACCAACAAACTTGTTTAGTCGCAGTATGTTTCTTGTTCGCCCGCGATTTCATTTGGAACGGCCAACATGTGACTTCGTTGAACAGTATCGACGCTGTGTAGGTAAGGCTACCACCGGTATGCTGTCAACTTGCCCATGTTTACTCCCAGACGAAATCGATAGAACACAGTCCTTTACAGGTTATTGCAGAACCATTCCCCCAGCACTCTTACTGTCTTTAACCGCATTGCCTCAAAGATGATATTAATATTAGGAATAACCATTGATAAGCCTGAGGTTAAGTCGTGCATGTGCGCAATGTGGTACTTATCCGGGATGGTAATTTTAAGTGCTCTGTAGTCATCAAAGAGGCGCCAGTCGCCAGATTTCTTCGGTACCATATGTAACGGTGATGGCTAAGGACTCCTTGGACGGGTGGATTATCCCGAGTCCAATGCTTTGCTCGAATTCCGCCTTAGCCTCTTTTACTTTGCCCGGGGCTAGTCTGCGAGCGCGCGCCGAAATGTGTGGAACCCTTGTGACGTTAGACGTCACGGGAGGTAAGTCTCCCTGAGTGTAAACGAGCTTAGGATGCTGGGTGAGTAGATCTATAAAAGGTCGTGAGGCTTGATGCAGGATCGAATGTGAGTGATAGCGGCCACGTTGGCGCCGGCCCCGATAACGTTGAGCTGTGTCCGAGCACAGATTAGCTTCTGTGCTCGACGATTAGGTCGAAATGTCAATGCCTATGATATCGAAAAAGACGACTGCTACAAGGAAATCCAACGAGAGGTTGGCCGGAGACCTAGTTTGAGCGTTAGCAGCTCCTCACCGAAAGTTGCCATTGGTGACACGTAGTCTTGTCAGCGAGAGTGAGACTACCACCTCTGGGTTATGTGGTATGACGCTAACTTCGGCTCCGATGTCCACTAGGAACTCGCTTACGCAAGTTAAATCCATGACGCGGATGAGGCGACTTTGGTTTTGACCGGTGGCGTCCGTCACCATTACGGGCCGGCTGTGACGTCTCCCTGCTTTTCGGCGAAGGCACGATGACTGACGAGTTTCTGCACCGAAACATTGCTGGTAACAACATTAGACCTGCCTCTTGCTGCTCTTGGGCGCCTTGTGGGTGCTTTCGATCGGCTGTGACGGCGACGGTTCATAATGAGCTACTGGACTTGGCGACTAAGTGTCGCAACTTGTGCATGCAGGTCTTGTATGGTTGGCTGTAAGCCGATGCTAGAAGTGCTCTGGGAAGCGACGGCGTTGAGCTTGCTGGCGTTGGCTTGCGGCTTGGATCGTTCAGTCACTCAATCTGCAAGGTTGACCAGTTCGGTGAACGACACGGAGCCCATAATTTCGAAAATGGCTTGTGTATTTTCCGGTAACAAACTCTCGTCCATGGGGATGACCCAAGTAGTTGCTGCATCTCTCTTAAGAGTGTTAAGAGCAGTTTGTCGCCCAGCTGCAGATCCCTAAAAAGCTGCTGCAGGCGGTCTTTTTCCAATGACACTACACGCTTAATCGTGGCCTTTTTGAGAACCTCATAACGATTTCCTATCTGAGAATTGATGACATCTCTAACCTGCGTTGATATCTACTTGGGGAGGTACGACATGAGGTTGCTGCACTTTGCGTAGTCTGCAGTGAGCAAACCACAAAAGGAGGGACAGAAAGTGTTCCAACACTAACAGCGGGAGACGCTACCTTACGGTCTACCAAAACCATGCTAAAACAAATGCTACCGTGGGCAAAAATAAACCAGAATATATGAAACAATGAATGGAACAAGCTCCCCAGGGAAAACGTCATACTATCTGGTGTTGAGGTTATTCCGAAAACGGGACCACTTATTTAGCGGAAGCCCAGCTAGCGATTCCAGAAGGTAAAACGAGTTACAGTGTAGCTTTTGTTTTGCACAGTACTACGTTCCCTGTTGATCTAGCTATAAAAAGCGAAGGAGAACAGAACGACGCCGCGTTGCAGTCGAAAAGGGCCCTAGGCATAGGTATTGCTCTACTCAACTACGACTCAACATACAGTTCAAAAATACGCACCAGTCTGCTGAGTGTACAGTGAAGTAATAATTTAGTTAAAATTTTGCACAAGCAAACCGGAGAGCCTCCAGACTGCAACACATGGTGTCCCTGTTTCTCCGACTCTGATAAGAAATTATGATTGGATCACCACATATTTGCCCAGGTTATAGGGAAAACTTGGTCGCATCGCACCCGAATTGCTATTACCTGCTTCCATAGTGCGAACAATACTAACCTGAACCGTCTGTCTGACTGTCTCAGTAAGGTCATGGTATTTGTAGGGAACAAAGGAATACACTGTATGGTACAAGTCATAGTGTCAACTGTTACCACATCTCGAAATGAACCCAATTAACAAAAAAACCGGATTTGTACTGAATCTCAGATTGAGTTCCATAAAAATACTGCAAATTTATGCATTTGTCTCGAACAGTCTGCATCGATGACCGATCGGATCGGGCTCAACTGCTCCGTTCCTCCAACACCATCCTCTTGTAAATAACTGAGGTACCTTTGAGTAGTATGGCACTTCTGAAAACGACTAACCTGGAATGTCTGAAGAAAACAGTAAGATGAGCACTTCAAGATGGTAACATTTTTTGTTATCTGATCACCTGCAAACTAACAACATACATCGATCAGGTGAAGGAAGAAAGCAATCGTTTTGAATTGATCATTAAAAAATGCACACAGACAAAACAATAGCTGGTAGCACTGGGGCAAACGTCATGAACCCCACGGAGGCTTAAGGGCTACTGTCAGTTGCTTCTGTACAGAGATCGGGACGGTAACGATTGAGGGACACAACCTCGGGAAACTTCAGCACCCTGGCATTTTCGTTGAGGCGGGGTCAACTTGATGACCCTAACCCAATTAGCGAACAAAACTAGATATGCACTGAATCCCAGATTGAGTTCCAAACAAATTTGTGAATTTGTCTCGGACAGCTTGCATCGAGGATCGATCGGATCAAGCTCAACTAGTCCGTTCCTCCAGCACCATCCTCGTGTAAATAAATGAGGTACCTTTTAGCGAATCCTTAGTGGGTTCTGGGACATTTGAACACATCACAGTCATCGCGTTTCGATTGCGTAGTAACTGCTTGTTCTGCGGTTCCATGTGAACGACCATTTGTCGTGTAGGAGTGATTATCTTGTCTGGTATGGAAGACAGGTCAAGGCTACAGCAAGACTGTTTATGTGCAACGCCGTTAGTCGCACTATATGTAGGAGTGAAAATGTTGTTGTTCAGCTAATAACTGGGGTGATAACGCAATTTGTGCAATAACTACATGTCTTGCAGCATTCCGCGACTTTTGGGATACCGTTCAACCGGCCTGTCGTCGCTACTATTCGTCACCATTGGTTTTCGTTCTTCACTGAACTGTGTAGCATTTCTACTGGGGCGTTTTTGTCTTTTAACAGGTCTGGAATTTGGACTACCTACTACACTTATTTACAACTCATGTTTAGACATTTTCCCTCCCAAGACAGCAATCCGTTCCTTTCGCTCTGTTGACGTGTCAGCTAAGGTTTCACACCTCACCGTAAGCGTTTGAACAATCCTAACAATGGGACTATCTGAACACGAGTTACGGAAGCAAACTGTTTATCGGTACGCTGCTCTTTCCGTTACTTTTTATACACGTTTGCTGCGTCGTAAGTTTGGCACAGAACGGGCACTTGCTTTCTGAGATGAACTCTGTTGTCAGCATGTTTGAGCTACGATTGACCTTGGGTTTGTTATTCACTTGGTTTCCGGCCGACAAACTTCTCCGACCCATGGCTCAACAGCTTTCATGCACTTTTAGACCACGATGGTCACATCGCTTTTGGGCTGCCTCATTTGTCTGCGCCGGTCAGTGGGGACTGTCGTGTCGGCGGTTTGGTTCATTCTTGATGCACAAATGGACAAACCTCAGGCTATGTGCGGTAAAACGCTTGTAGAAATGCAGTTGTAACTGTACGACGACAAAATAGCATGTAACTACGGTGAACAATGGGGTACAGTACTGTTAAATCTTATCTAGTAGCCCTAAGGAAACTCTGTCGTACGGTATCACAAATACACTAATGAAACTAAAAAGGCAAGTTTCACATGTTAGTCTTAGCGAACAACCTGCCGTCAACGTCGTTTGTAGTGTACGAGCGCGTCGTTTGACCTACCACGCAAATTTTGATTCCGTTGGATACACCTCGGTGATCCGAATCGACTGAGCGTGCTCCCGAGGATGTGTCGCAAAATTGTAAAGGGATAAGCCCAACTTAACGCAGGGCACAAACTTGTAGAACTGGCAAGCACGTATGAACTTGCCGTATGATGTGCGTCACAGGGAAATTGATTTCATTTTTATCCTTCCTCTTCACTTTAGCAGGTATCTGCCCCGTTTTCTGGACCCCGTGTTTCGTCTCCCGTCACGTGACTATGGGATTACAGAAATCCGTGCATCTGACCAAGAGCTTATTAAAAGCATTATGCTCTTCAGCCATGTCAGTTCACCCACCCCTTTCAAAGCGGGAAATAAATGAACGACGATCTCATGATCAAGAAGCCAAGGATAGAGAGTCCTCACGCGCTGAGTAATCGCACAACAATAACTTACGGCTTTGTGTGCTGTGTATGGTATCCACAGAACACTGATTCGCTTCGGACAATCACATATTACGAGATAATAACAGAATTCGTAGGAGGTCATACGGGAATTTGCTGAGTACTATTCTATTGCTAGAGCCTGGATTGAGTTTACTAACAAGTTCCGTGATCTGATAGTAACTGTAACGACCAGCGACCATTTCGAGAAAGCTGCTATACTTGCCTACTTATAGTTCCCCCGTTGTTGACAACATTCCCAATGAATGCAGTGCAGGTGGCAGTCACAAGGATATGGAGGGCGTTCGGAATGTTTGACACCTCCATGTGCGCATATGGGACGCCGCATGTGGAGTACGCGATTCAGGCCCGGCAACCCTAGCTAAAACGCGATCTGGTTGCACTGGATACCGCACAGCGAAGCGTGACCGAAAAAGTCAATGAATTGTTCTACCTGCCTTATCATCTACGACTGAAAGCCTTGGGAGTGTACAGCGGGTTATCGCCGTCTACTGGGCGACCATAATCTGGTGTAC